CCCCCCACCCCCCACCCCAAAAAAAAGCAGGGTGGACGCCACATTCTATATTTGGTACCTGACATAATTATTTGCATGATTGCAAAAAGACAAAATATATCTGATGGCTGCACTGAGTAACTAACCTGATCGCCGACAGTCCCAAGAAGAAGTTGCTTGGAAGTTATACCCTTGGCTGTTGATGTCACTGCTATTGCTTTCACAGAATGAGTAAAGAAGTATGACTGACTTTTCACCATCACCTCAGGTCGAGAATACGAAGAGAACGGTGATGTCAAGTTATGTTTACCCAGTATAAGCTTCAAAACATCTTTGTTGTCCTGTAAGCAAATTTTCAAATTCATACTCATTAGGCTAATCAAAAGCATACACTAATCACGATGAAACCAAATATAACAAAAACTTACAGCCCGAGACTGATCGTAGATTTCTATAACAGACATCTCATATCTGTGTGCTCTGAGATTGAAGTAGTGATAGACAACCCAGTTCTCACTTACAACCTTCATAGAGTACAGGAGATAGAATCAACAGATTGTTTTTCTCCTTTATAAAATGCATAATACAAAAATCTGCAAATGAAGATAGAAACGACTGGAAATTATATGGAACAGTATAAGACATCACTTACAGCATGGATAGGTCCTTGTGCACCTTGGTGGGTGACACGGTGGAGTACTCGACCGGTAACAGCATCAATAAGATATGCAACTAGCCAAGCTTCTTCTGGTGTCGCTGATCCAATCTCTCCAGCAGCTTTAGGAGAAACAGTAGCTACAAAAAGTAAATTTCTTGATATATATTTATATATAACATCCTGATCTGCTATACCCTTTGCCTGTGTATGAACAACCTGCAACACATGGGATATCATGCAGAAAGTAAATAAACAAAAACAAAATGAAACATTACATTATTGAGAACACTGAGTGAATTGCTTGTGCTAGCATGCAAAGATGGGGAATTCATTGACATTATCCTTATAAACTAAACTAAGACAGATAAAACTTAAGAAACATGCATCCTGATAACATATTTATTAAACATACTGCATATCAACAACGCAATGAGCCAATTGCGTGTGCTAACATGAATAGAGGAGGATCTCATTGGCATTGTCCAAGTGAATTAAAATATGCACGCATGAGAACATATTCAAGGTACAACTCCAATGATTAATTAAGAGTAGTTATGGCCGTATATCTAAGAGAACTCAAAGGAATAAGTCCATGGAAGTCAGTTAACATTTAAAAAGTTCTACTTAGAAAGATGAGCACAAACATACACTCAAAATGATAAT